TGGCTCCGAGAGGCAGGCGGCCTCCGTCCCAGCCCGCTTTCCCTTTAACCACAGACCAGGCAGAACGCGACACAAAATACAATCTCACTCTTTATCTTAAAAAGTCGGGGAGGCGGGATCCGGGGGTGAAGGGCACAAAGCACCTCAGTCCTTCGGGTCGTTAGTGTCAGTTCTACACGGCGCTTGGCTTCCTGGCCCCAGTGGGACTCCACTTTCTGGAATGGTCCAGGAGCTGCGGGAAGGCAGGCGATGGGAGGTGCGCGGCCTCCCTCCTCCGTCACAGTCCCAGTCCCAGTCCCGCCTGGCCAGGCCGGAGGAGAGCCGACCGCCACGGCAGGGAGACATCGCTATCCAGGGCTATTTACAGGGGCCCGGCGGCCAGGGTCACTTCATGAACGCCACTTCCGGGATTTCACCCTTGGCCTGGAGGAACAGGGAGGTCAGCAGAGCCAGGCTCCCCCCCGCCCCCCACCCTCTTGACGGCCCGGAGACCCGCTTTCTTGCGTGATTCCCAAACCTGACCTTGAGATGAGTGAAGGCTTGGGCAGATCTGGTGTAGTCCCAGTTGTTGTCCTGCAGGCACCTGGAGTGAGAAAGGAAGGCCACCTCCATTAAAACCACAATGCAGCCACCCTCATCACTAAATGCCACTCGGAAATCCATTCTATACAAACACTTGCCCAAGTTCCAACAATTACATACATTCTTGCACAATTAATACAAATGAAGAGTAATCCACATGTGTATCGGTGGTCTATTGAACACAAAAGAATACATATGGAACAGCTACCAAGACTACCCCCTGGTGAGTGTGGCCTGGTTGGCTGGAGCATCATCCCATACCCTGAAGGGTGGCTGGTTCAATTCCTGGTTGGGGGCATGGGCAGGAGACAACCGATCCATATTTCTCTCTCACATTGATCTTTCTATCTTTCTCTCTCTCTCTCTCTCTCTCTCTCTCTCTCTCTCCTCTCTCTCTCTCACATCCTTGCTCTGAAATTAATAATAAAAAAAAAGACTAAGGTGACTTTTATACTGATAGTGGAATATGTTCACGGAATAAGGAAAAAAAGTTGCACAACAGTACATATAAAGGGACTTCATTTTGGCTTTAAATTTTGTTATGCTAATTTATAATTTATGCTAATTTAACTTTTTCATAGACCATTACAAAAAATTTTTTAAAATATGTTTTTATTGATTTGAGAGAGAGGGGGGAAGGAAAAAGGGGGGAAGGGAGAAAGGGAGGGGGTGGGGGAGAGAGAGAGAGAGAGAGGGAGACAAACATTAATTAATGAAAGAGCAACATCAACATGCATGCCCCTACTGGGGACTGAACCTGCAACCTGGGCATGTGCCCTGATGGGAGTCGAACCAGCGACCTCTTGGTACATGGGACAAAGCTCAACCAACTGATCCACACCAGCCAGGGCTCTTATTTTTTTTAAAGCAATAAAAATAATTTGACTTTTAAAATTTCAGGAGCACTCCTTATTCACTACGAGCTCTACCTCAGTTCACCCCTTTGTACACATGCCCAGCACTCACTTCTGGGACCACTCGAGGTTCATGCCAGACTGCGTAGAGAACGCCTGCAGCATTTCCTGCTGCTCTGGGGACAGGGTGGGCACCGGGCTGGAGGAGGGCGTGGGCGCGGGCATGGCGAAAGCTCTCTGGATCTCATCAGGGCTGGCATTCCGCACAAACAACTCGTCATTTACAATGCACAGCCTTGGGGACAAAAAGCGCCTTAGATAGTTGAACACACACAGGTAACCTCATCCTCCCAACATCATTCCTATTCTCACTGAAATTTCACACTCAGATCCTAAAATCCCTGTAAGGCCCCCCCTCACTCTTAGTTATTATTACCTTATTTACCTTTTATCATTTTACTGACATGGACTCCACAATGCAATCATCTACCAAACACAGAATTGTACATTCTGCCCAAACCAGACAGTTCTTGCCTCCCACCTGTCTTCACAACAGATTGAGGAAGTGAACAGTTTCACCAGTCTTCAGATGAGGAAACTGGCCCTTAGCGAAGTGGCAGAGCAGGCTGAAAAGCCCAGTCAGTCCAACTCCAGGCAAGCTCTTCGCCTCCTACTCTGATTCCTCCTGCCTTCCTGAAATTCTGAAAATACCCGCAGGACTGACTCTCCCCCTGCCCCTCCAATTCCCACAGCACCGGGACTAGAAGCCCATCTGATAAGCCCAACACTTGCCCTGAATTGCTGGCTGGAACAGCGACGAACGTCCGTGTAAAGGCTCGCAGAGAATCCCGGGACTTTCCATCCACTGCAACAACAACGGCAATGGCCTGAGAGGTGCTCACACTTTGTTTACAAACAGCTTCTCAAAATATTGTGGCATTTGATACACAGAACCCTCAGGGGCCAGAAGGGAATGATGTTTGTGCAGAGCTGGGGAGTGTGAGGCCAGAAAGGACAGTAATAACCACTACTGCCCACTCAGTCTGTGTGTGACAAGCCTGTGTCCATCTCTCGGTCACTCCACAGCACCCCAGGAGATGGCTGTTACTAACTCCCTTTGCAAGGAAGGGATCTGAGGCTCAGTAGGAATGTAAATTGCTCACACACGGGACCAAGGCTGGGACAGAAGCTCAGACCTGCCTGTGGCCTCCTATTCCTCAGGCTTTCCCCACATCCCAGGCAGAAAAGATAGGCAGAGAGGAGAGGCCCAATGAAGATGGCTTGGGGCACAACAGGAGAAGGTCAGGGAAGAGGAGGGAAGAGAAGATAGCTGGGGAAAGGACTGCTCCGAAAACAGGACTCCCAAGATGCTCACCTTCCTTGAAGACGCCATTGACAGAAAAACACAGCAACGTGTTCTGAAAGAGAAGCAGCAGTTACCATGCAGGCTCTGCACAGCCCCTGCCCCGATTCCAGGCTGTCAGGGAGGAAACCTGCTCACCGTTTGGGCACTGATGTCGACCACAAAGGAATTGATGTCGTGCTGAGTCTTGGGCAACTCGTTGAGGAAGGCCACCACGTTGAGCCGTGTGTGCTTCAGCAGCCGGAACCGCAGGGCTGTGGGGGAGGAGAGGCCACGGTCAGGGGCTGCCATGACTGCACAGCCCCCGACTCCTTCCCATTCCCTTCTCCCATCCTGCTTTGCTCACATCACACACTTACTCGGGTCTTTCAGCTTCTTCACATT